TTATTTTTAAACAAATTAAACTTCAGAGTGCAGTGATTGTTGATTGCGGATTTCATTTCTCGACATTATTAGTTTAAATTATTCCCAGGATTAAACTATTCAACAAGTGGAAAGTAATTTTGGAGGAAACTAAAATAGTTAAGATTTAAAGTATTAAACTCAGAAATGTTAAAATCAAAGCGAAATGATAAACATTTTATTGTGGTACAAAAATTTGCAATTTTCATGAATGAAATCTAAATTTCATGATATTTCGTTGTTATTTTGATAGTTTTATTTCGACAATTTCCAGTACTTTTTACTCAAATAGTTCGTAAGCCCAATGAGTAGCGGGACAGCCGTTCATTTTCACCCTAAAAGATTGATATTCACTTCTTTGTGCTTAACCATTTATTAATTTGATGAATTTTTGAAGAATTCATATGAGCACCACTTGCAAATAAACTATTTATGAAGACTTTAACTCTTTTTCGAAATGATTTCCCAAAATCAGTAATTTTTTGAGCAAAAATGCTGATTTCATTTGCAATATCTGCACAAAGCAAATGCGTTGCATTTCAAGGCATTGTCGAGAAATCAGAAAAGCAAAGTTTGAAAAATTGCGTTGAGAAGTGCTGAAGTGCTGTTTTATCACTCATAGCATAAATTTAAAATTTAATCTTTGCAACGAAAGAAGCTTGCATTTTCCTTTCAGCATATCAGAGCTATGAGTTATCAATATAAAGAAAGGCATTACGTACCGATCTAAGTATTTTCAAACTATACTCTCGTCCAAGTAAGTTGATTTAGGCAATCAACTGCAAAATTCTGAATTTAGATGCACTCTGATAAAAATACCATTACCTAGGCTACTATTTGATATTAATTTTTTTTTCATTGATATTAAACATAAAGAACACTTGGAAAGGCCGTTAAGGCGTTGCAGGATTTGCGCTGCAAAAAAGGCTCAGATGTGGCTTTTTATTTGTTGTTCGCCTAGAAGAGTGGTCAAAATTTAGCAGAATCATAAATTCAGAATTTATTAGTCTTTGCTACTTCAATTTCCAATCTACCAATAATGATTGATTGATTGGATGCTTCCAGTTTTTGCGATCAACGAATAAAATAAAAAAACAAAGCTATCATTTTGAATTCAACGCAAAGTTTGTTCTCTTTTGCGTCTTACGTCGCACTTTTCTGTCTTATTTTCTTCAATAATGAAACTTCAAAATCATAAATCAGTTGTACGCATATTAATTCAATTAATTTTAGCAGACTTCCTTCTTGCATTCACAAATATAAATCAGTGTACTACTGATATTGGTACCATGAAGTAGCAAGTAGAAAATGTTGAAGCAATCAGTCTGAAAGTTTTCAGCAAATTTTTTTCATTCACTCTTTTATTCTAAAAAATTCTTTTGAACATTTTTTTGTGATAAACATAAAGTCAATTAATAATGGGCTAAATGTGTTGAATGTACTATTTGATCTCAAGTAAAGTTGATATCGCTGTGAAAATACCAAAACGGATGCCCAACGCTGCTTTGAACGCGATGTATAATGGAATACGTTTGGAAAGCATTTAACTTTAGGGAAACTTTAAAATTTTTAATGCAGTTATAGTAGTTTGTGCAAATAACGGTCGGTCGTTATAATGGTTTTGAGTGTCCGAAAAATTCAGCAAGCAGTTGATTACGGAAAGCTTCAAAACGTAAACTTTTTTTGTGCAAAGTTTTTTCTTTACTGTTTTTACAAACTAATTATGCTTATAATCGCTCTACGTGAAGCTTAAAAGAGCACACTCACGCAGAGAAGAATCTTGACTGCATTTCAACTTTTGACATCTGAAGGATCAGTACCAAACAGTTAAAGAAATCAATTACTTTTGGGCTGTACTAAAACAATTTATTAAAATTTGTGCAATTAAAATAATATATAAGACTAAAAAAGATTTTGAACAGATAAAAGTCTTTAAAATTATTGCAATCTCCAACTACAGCTGTTTATTACTGCATGAGGGAAATTCTTGAAAATAACTATTAGTCATAAAGTGAAAAAGAATCCGTCCTGACTATATACTTACTTCTTAAAAATCATTCCTCTCATTCACATATCATTCATTAGAAGTGAATTACTTGATTACGCCTTTTAACGGTTGATTCACAGAAACTTTTGCTAATAACCACTCCAAAATTAGAACGCCTAAATTATAGCATTTTTGAATTATTCTGAAATAAGCTACTTTTTGTGCATACTTGGCAGTCAACTTACTATGCAAGATCCATTATTTTCAAAGCAACTCAAAGCAGACAACTAACCTTTGTTGATTACTATCGAAGTTGATTAATCACCAAGTTGCGCATTCAAGTCTGAGCATGGAACTTAGTGATTAATCAGCTTCAGAATTGGTTCGCAGTTTTTATTTACTTAATACAATTTTTTTTTTTGCTTTCAACAGCAGAAGAGCATGCTATATGAATTTGTTTGAAATGAAAGCATGAAGTTTTTGAGTAAATACAATCTTGCAAACCTTACAAATGCTTTTATACTGACAACAATCCTGACTACGCTGTAAATATAGATCACGTACTTGTGCTTGCAAGTATGCTTGAACAATAATATCACTCGAGATACAGTACTGCTGGTAACAAAATTATCAAATGAAGATTTAGAGAAGCTCTCGATTCTTTTTTATTTTTAGATTTGTTCTTCATGAGGTTATTTTGAATGAATATAATAACGCGCGTATTTAATTTACTTGATATATCTAAAAAAATTGTATCAGAATTATTCAAGAAAAACTGTTAAATTTCACGGAAGAAGTCTGAAGCATTTGTTATGTAGCAAAATACATCTTCGGATGTCACTGCAATTCTTTTAAATTCTATGCAATTCAATCACATTAAGGATTTCACGTGAATATGTGATATTAGCAGATCATTAAGATCAGATTTGCTACTTCACGTCAGGCTAACGTTAAAAGTTAACATTAGCTGCTGTGAGCCTCTTTTCCTCGCATTACTACATTCAGTACTTGCTATTTTGTACTAGAAGAGTATGTACGCTCACAATCGGCTAAACGTAAACTTTGCGTTGATTTCCGAGAATGATAAATAAATAAATAAATAGTTATGAATTATTCAGTTTTCTAGCAAATGTTCCGACTTATATGAAGTTTAATTCGAATCGGCCATTCCAATTTGCTCTTTCTTTCATTTCATTTCTGTTTCTAGCAATCAGTCTACCTAGACCATTCAGTCAGTGTGTATGCCTCAATCATTTTCAGAACTTAACAATATGGCAACAACGTAGTACATTGTGCCCTGCTCCACTGCATACTGTGAAAAATTGAAGACTTGACTAGCCCGCCAGTTTTCTCAACCTGTCATCCTCCAAAAATCAACGCAAAATTTCTGATCAGTAGTTGGAAGAACAAATATTGGGCTGATTCAACGTATATCTTTTAGTGTAATGATTTATTGCGTTCTGTGAACGTAAGGTATTGCAGATAACTTCTGAGAACGAAAAGCTGACTAACAATACACTGGCAAAATATTCTTAAAAAAACAATAGACAGATCAAAAGTAGCCTACTTTACATATTGTATGATCTCAAATCACTACTATTCTTATCAAGATCAAAATCTTTAGTTTGATGGCGCTCGATTTTAGACTTCCATTAATTATTATTAAATTAGGTAATAGTACTTGAATTCATACCTATACCCTTTATATTTATTTCGCTGTGTTTCTGTAACACACTCGCTGTAATTGTTATTGCAGAACACTGTAAAATGCAAGCAAGTATTAAAAACATGTGATGGTTTTAGTGATATGAAAACTAATACTAATCTTGTAACGCATCTTACAAAGATAGTACAAAATTTTTAAAATCAGAGACTAGCTAAAAGGAATGAGTTAAGTTACAAGACAAATGTAATAGTCAGCCTAATTATGGTACCATTAGTTACTTTATAACAGAGTAATAAAATTAATGCAGTTTATTACAAAATATGCATCAAACTAATTATACCAAAGAATATTCATCTTCATGAGAATGATAAAAACTATATCTTCTAAATCAAGTTAATACAATTAATTTTTCTTGCATGACAAATCTAGTATACAATTTATTTCTATGGCATTGAAGAACGAGTAGCGAAAGGAATATATCAGATGAATAGATGAAATGGAGAATCCAAATAACATATATTTATACTACAGAAACATAATAGATTTATATGCGAGTGCGCATATGTTACCTAATCGAAACAAATTCAGTTTTCAGGCAGAACTGATTCTGATGAGATGAATTCAGAAGATGCAAAAAGATAAAACAAGCAGAAAATGGAAAAGTATCAAATACACATTGAAAAAAGTAAACACAATACAGTAAAATCAACTAGATGTTAGCAGTATAGAAAGTGGACTTTTGAAACTGCTGTGATTCAAATGAAAAAGATCATCTGTAGATGCGAATTCTGAATCAGGGAAGATCAATCTTCGCATTTCAGTTAACTTTAATGATGAATTTGAGTGAACAGCAGAGTACAACTTTAAAAAATGTTTCGTATCCATCCAGATGAAACAAGAAGCCATTGCCGTGATGACCCCAAGGCAGAGAACTTTTACAAATGGCACTCAAATAAGCAACAATAATATTTGTAACAAAACAGTTCCGATAAACGACAAAAATTTCGGCAAGAAGACAACTAGTCTATTAAAGTTTATGCTACAAAAAAGTACTCACTGTAAAATGCGTATTTTCATATTTCTGAATCAGTTTTTCATAAAATGTGTGCGAATAAAGTTTACTACGAAATCTTAAAATGATTAGTAAGCTTTATTAAATTATCCTGTAAATAAAAAATTATTTTTGTTCGGAACTCAAACGACTGAATTATGACTTACAAATACGACATTATTGTACGGTATATTTTTTATTAAGTAATCCGCAACAGTAATAATAAGATAATAATAATGCTAAAAAATAAATAAGATGTGTAAACGTGAGATGAATATTTAGGCGACCATCTGTGGATTACTTATCGCCGTAGGTGAGGGTGGACATCTTGGTGGAGGATATGGTGGTGGCGGTGGCAAATCCAATATAGAATGTGACATTATCCAACTAAATTAAAATTATTTGCATACAATAAAGAAAACTACAAAAAGCACTTAAAAATATGCAAATTTCAAATTGGGCGCTACATGAGCGGGTTCATATTATCAAGAAGTAAATAATAAATCTTGCGAGTCATAGATTTTTCTTGAAGATCAACAAGTAAGTAATTAGTCCACCCTGAACTGATTTCTAAAAAAGAAATCAATCTCACTACATCACTTATAAAACATCTTCAAGTAATGTACACGACTTTCATACTGAAAATTTTCTTCACGCTTCTAACTTCATATAATTTGCTTTCATACTGCTCAATATTAAATACATTACAACTATCCATTTTCAATTCACGACACTGAGTGAAACTTTTTACGCATTTCTACGCATAAAATGTGCGACTAAATGTTCTATGCACTCATATTTGCAAAATAATGCCATAAAATTGGTTTCAGAGCAGTGAAAAAATAACGATTTTGAAAATCTTAGGATTTGTTACGTTCACACACACTTCTGTTCATCAAAAATCAGCATGAAGCGAGAAGAATTCCGAAAATTTTTTAATAAAAAAAGTCTTACAGTGAGACTGATCTAATTAGGAACCAGAAAGTGGCAATTAATTTTTCCTCTTAATAAATCTATATTATAAACAATACAGGCAAAAAAACTATATCAAAGATTGTTACCTTTGATTACGACCAGCAGCATATGGAGAATAGTAACAGCAGGAAGGTGCCGAATTCTCAGGTACATAAATTTCTTGATGATAAACTGTCGCCCGATTTCTAGATGGTCTCATAGCATATACTGTATTCGGTCGAGAATCATAACCAGCTGAGGTAAAATGTGGTGAAGTAACTACAATAGACGAAGCAAGTTCCTGACATGAAGACTGTAGTTGCAAATGTTGCAAATCTACTCCTACAGAATCACTGATCACAGCGTTTAATGAGGATAATATAGGATTCGACACTGATGGTACATTGAACCGTGTTGCACTCGTAGCAGCAGTAACAGAAGAAAAATTCGAGTTCGAATTTGTTGCCAATTGTCCACATGAACCTAATGAATTCGTGGATTATTTAAACATATAAAATTTTCGATATTATAAAGTAAATAGTACAAATGTCATTTAATAAAGAAATTTATCGTCAACTATTCATTACAGTTTTTACACAATTTGTAGTAGATAGATGATTTCTACCTTGCTGATGTTCTTGCCACAAAGCTCTCATCATCGGATATTTTCGAATACGACTGTTTAGAGTCATTTTTTCATGATCACTTGTATAAGAATGTCTTTCAGATAAAATATCCTTTGATACAACGTTCGTAAGTGGTGTGCACATTCCAGACGCTTTTTGTGCATAACGTACACGTGATTGCTGTAAAAATTATGAAAACGTAATATGCAAAATCTCTTGAGTGCATTGAAAAAATTATCAAAAAAATCAGAAAATAAAAAAGCAAAATATCGTTAATGTAGAGTCTGTTCATAATGGTACTTGACTGCACTTCCAAGTTATTTTAAAATGATGTGGTTATGCACTACTAGTCAAAAATATTGTGCTTTCAGTGTGCGCGGTGTCATATTAAGTAAAAACTTCTGCTTATCCAATCGTCAGCATGCAATACTACGATAATTATTCACAAATAAAGATTGTTGCCGAACTGTATGCTACGTAATTTGTTTATGCACTTCAATTTAATTATTAAACACAAACTGAAAACAAAAAGTGATCAAAGCTTGAAAGAAATGCATCTGTAAAATAAACCTGAAGGACAGCATGCTCATAAGAAGGAGGTTGTTTAGTATGGACAAGAAAACGAGTTCCTGGTGAGGAATGCGAATATTTTACTGATGCTGTATTAACCGAGGACTGTGGCAAATGCTCATCCTCAAATTATGTGGATTTATCTCATTTCTGATATTTTTGAATGCTTATAAACAAATCATGCAATCTGATAAACAAAACGTTATTACAAATAAAACATTTTAATCAACAGTAACATTACTTACATCATCTAGATAATGCTGAGCATTATGAGCCGGCATGCTTTGCACACGACTAATTCCTCGAGCAGCAGAACTATGCTGCAGACGTTGTCCATAACGCTTCTGAAATAAGCCATTTGCCTGCACGGTTGGAGGCGATGACGTGTGTGATCCCAACTGTAATTAATAACAGGTAGTAGAAAATGACGTTAAAGATAAACGTGAAAGCTGTAATTTCAGAAAATTTCTTGCAAGAGTTACCCATGAAGAAGCATAGTCAACCAAGTACCGTCATGAATACCTAAAAATACAGATGAATTCCATTACTTGGTAATGAAGTTTTGGTTCAGAGTAAGCGAGATGAGTGGAAGTTTCAAGTGGGCAAGAGACTGTTGCCATCGAGGGAGTGAAACCAGCTACTGTTATCCATCTTGGTTTCACATTTGGATTGGCACTAGATCGCTGGTAAGGAATTTCAGGTTTATTTTGCGTACTTTGACTGTGGAAACTTTCCAGTGTCTCAGTGTATTGTGGTGGTTGCTTCAAGATTGCATTTACTGTGAATTCTGTAACTTCTGATCCTTCTCTCGTCTCTTCATCATCACCCTAACAATATCAATTACTGTTTATATCAAAAATGTTTTATATGATAAAGTAGTGACTCCTACTGCCTAAATAATCGACTAAAAGAAATAAAACTTTTTAATATGGCATCAAATTATTGAAAAAAAATTCAAAAGTTTCGATTTTTCACTTAATTTTACTAAACGTTCTTTAAGTCTTCAAATCCTCTAAGTCTTTTGCTGGAATCACCAATAATAATATTGCTAATAATAAGTGATCGTTTTTTTAAACTAAAACTTAACTGAATTTAACTTAACTGAACAATAATAGCTGAAAGTTAAGAAATTCAATTAAATGATGAACCCACTTCTTGAATGTTTCCTGAATATTCTACAATTGCATTATCATAAGATAATGAAGTAGCAAAATCGCTTGTGTCTATCGTAGTTTCAGAGCTTTTGTTCGATGAATTTTCTTCGCTACTTCGCCTACAAATAATACTGACCACATAAATGGAATAACATAAATTACACTCTGAAACAACGATAGACACAAAAAAACACAGAATTATGATCAAAAATATTTCGAATAATGTACTGCTTCTAGTTTTCGCTCAGTAATGTTTAGCTGCAAGAAAAAAAGTTGAAGTGCGAAAGATTCACAGGACTATCCAGTTGAATAAAATAAAATGGATAATGTAAGACTGTAATGAAGAAAAAATAAAACTGACGAGGAGGAAGTATTCAGATGATCGACATTGACATTGATGGTACTACCTAATTCATTTTGAGCATCAACTGCAACTTCAGGCACTGTATTAAGCGATGTTTTATCTATTTCTGCAGCTAAATCTTCACTCGTAAATGCCTGCATTTCTTCACACGAGCAGTCAGATGCCATACCGCATATGTCAGTCCATTCACAATCTACAACTCAGTCAACTTACACTTACTAAAATCATAATAAAATATGGTGCTCAAGTATCCTGCTAGATACTTTGAATTAATTTCAGAGGTCACCTTTTATTGACTACTGGTAAGTGTATAAAAGAGTAAAATCTGTTGATGAGTAAAAAAAAAAACTGTTACTCACTTATCAATCACTTTTAGCTAGTAACAAATGTGTGGATGGCGTACCTTTGTCCGCTTCACTTCCAGGTTTATCTGAAACTACACCTGACGTGCTATTACTAGAAGCACGTGAGTTAAGTGAACGTCTCGAACAAAGAGGGTCATCATCGTTACAGAACAATGGTGAATTTATACTTGCTGAAACAAGTAGCAAATTATTTAACAACTTTGTCTAATTTAAAATATAAACTTCAATTTAGAAAGTTCTACATATGCTGATTTTATACATTAAGGATATACAGTGTGATCTTGCTCATTTCTAAGCATACTCAATCAAATTTTGTTGTTGACGCAATACTTATGATGATTCTCACAATATTCTTAATCCATATTGAACTACAAAACTGTTATTAGTATAAGATTTCATAATGATAAACTAACGAGAATCGCTGCGCCAATTATGAATGAAAATGTGTTTACACTGATCATTTTATTTCTGATCAACGAGTGTACTCAGTGAAGGTATTTGCAAAAAATACGAAATTCAGAACTATAATGATTCCACAATAAATGGCTTGAGAGAGAAACTTCATCAGAAATAAAACATACTGAAGTGAATACGGCGAAATATTAGCTGATTGCTGATAAACAGAGTTGCTTGATGGAAAGCCTTGCAAAACTCAAGCAAATATCGAGCTTTATTTTCAAACTGCGCATATAGAGAGAGACTAGCACCATCGATGCCCGTTATCGTTAGTTTCCTCTTGTCGAAACTTAGCTTTGCGATTCGATTCCACTGTAGTTTCCGCAAAGGAATTCGCTCTCCATCATTGCCAACGTCAGACGTTTCGATTCCTCTGAAATTTCGTGACATATTACCAAAAATCATCTACAAATACAATAAATTTATAAATGAAAACATGTCTGTAATTAAAACAAACAATTGTGACTAACTTTGGACTGATTCCAATTACTGCGTTATCAAATGTATCCATTTTGTGCCTCCGTAATCCGTACAAATGACAATTCAGAGCGAATGGTGGCCTGAAATCCCGTTGAAGTAATTTCAGTTACCAAGTCATAATTTACGCTTTCTTTTGGATTTAGTACTTGATGCAATTATGCCGAATGACAACAAAATAACTGACAACTACATTTACGAGTATTATTTGTGTCATCCACGTACTAAAACATTAGAAATAGCAAACAACAAAAAAGTATTATTTGATTTCAATCTCTACGAATAGATATAAATGTTGCTAAAAATTTTTAGTTAATTGAGTAAATTTGTAAGCAAAAGTTGAAATATATGTTTAAAAACCTTGAAGCTTGCTGGCAATAATCCACTATTGCATCATTACTTGAACACGTTCTCAAATCTTCACGAATAGCAGATATATTGCGACGTACAAAATCTAAGCCATGAACATTTACCACCCAAAGAGGGAAATACTGTTCGGCTCGGAAAGATCTATTAATAAATAGTTATTAGAAAAGTCATATAGCAATAGTTAGACGTTGCTTAGGAAAAACAAGAATTAATTCGAGAACGCTTCGATGGAAATTCAAATTAGCATGTCATAAATATGTAGAGATAAGAAGGATGGAAGCATTTTAAAATTTTGATGTGAATATTCTAAAATTTTGACTGATATTTTTCATGCTTTTCACAGCAAAAATCGCATTCTTTATAGGTAATCCCTTCATCTGGCAATAACTGATACAAAATAATGCTTACAGTAAATCGTTTCCATTTTCATCTGCATGAAGTGCTAACGCAGCAAGTTCCCAGCACCGTTCTTCAGCAACTGAATTGGACCCTGACCACTGGTCAAGTAAATTTTCACGCAACTGAAGGTAGTAATGACGCAGAGTTGTTGAGCACCTGAGAATTGGTAAATAGTACTTTATCACAAATAATGACTAATTGATATTTTTCAAATGAAACCACCAAACTTTCTTTAATTATTCAGTATTTACTTTCACGATTACTACAGTACCAATTGTTTTTTGGCATTCTTTGGCAAAGCAAATTTACAAGCTTAATAAATGAAGTGAACAATACTTTCTAGAATGTTGAAAAACACTGATCTAACTTACTGAAAGCTACAGTGTTACAACGGACAAATTTAAATTGTATAATCTTAAAAATGTGATGAACGAACTCACCCAATTAAATGAACTTTGTCTACATATACACGAACTCGAAGGTGAAGAGCCAAAAATGGGCGACTTTCAACGACAGTATTCTAAAATTTAAGTAAATATCAATAATTAAATTTGAGTAATTACCAATAATTACCTTACATAATGTAAAAAAAGAAGAAATATTGATCAAAAAATGGATTGAAGTTTACACTTTTGTAGCTGAGTTTATAATCTTACAAAAAGAACTTATAAGGCATATTGACAGATATAAATTGCTAACACATTTAAACTTCTAGTATTAAAAAAGGTCGAAAAAGTCTTATTAGTGTAATAAACTGATTAATTATTGAAATGAATTTGATGCTTTACTTTCGTAAAACTAAAACGCTAACTTTATCCATTATCTTAACTACTATCAAGGTAATGAAGTGCTTGATTTAACAAACCCAAGCATGCGAAATCTTCCATTGTTTAGGAGCGTATTTTGTGATCTTTCGATTTGGTTCCAAGAAGAAATATTCATTTCTTGGACGATCACCACCTATTCCTTCGGACGGTGTTCGAAGAGCTAAACCAAATAATCGCTCTTCATCAAAACCAAGATGAGAGCAACAACACAAATATGCATCCTGCACACGACATTTCACCTCAAATTATATTTTTTTAATTACATATGAGGAATGCAAAATCATAAAACTAAATCAGACATATATATTTTTAAAATTAAGATGTATATCACGAGTGACAGTTAGAAGTTCACTCTTGCAACTGCATCTGAGTACTCAAAGTTTCCCCTCACGTGATAGCAATTTTCCACCACTTACAATTTTTGACTTCATAGCAACTCGATTTTTATTAGAAATTCGAAAAAATGAACAGAAAAAATCAAATTTGACTGTAAACGAGTGGGATATAAATAGTACAGAAAGAAATGTTCAAAAATTATTTTGTATGTAGTGATATCAATAATGCTAATTCAAATTAAGTATGCTACAGAACTTTTTATTGATAACATTTGCATTCAGAATTGTTCAAGTATAATAGTACTAAACTGTTTCTTTACTGAACATTAAATTGACCCCAGTAAAAATTACTCAGTTTACTTACTTAAATCTTTACTTACTAAAATCTCAAAACATAGTTTTTGTAACAAACAAATCAACTGATTCCATATAGTAATTTAATGGGAAGCAAGCGCATTAAAATTTTAAGATTTATACATTTCACATCGAAAATTCTTTCCTACCCATTTTATAACTTATTTTATCATAGCTATGGATATTCTGTCGAAGGCAAGTGTAATCATGCAACAAATTCAATTCCGAAACTAAGAACGTTAAGCAATTACTTATTCGTAAAATCAAAGGAATCAAACAATAAATTTTAATGTCACTTATCTATGTTACAAATCTGAGATAACTCCCAAGTTATAAAGCATGCAGAAGGAGTGATCAGAAAAAATCTAATGCTAGACGAGAAGTGATACTTTTATTAATACCACAAAATACCAAATAGGACATGAAACTTACATGCACGGCAAGTGTAACAGTTTCCTTAGTGAGAGTATGTACTTGAAGATATTTAAAACCCGGTGGAATCGTTGTATGCAATGATGGTATGACTTTCACATGATCAATGTTGAAACGATGAAGATCATCAGAACTGAAATTTGGAGCATTTGATTCAGACAAACGTTGTTCTGAATCACTTAACCGCGGTATCCGAGAAGAGCCATAAGAACTGGAACCGTTATATGAATTCACTTCATCACTTTCTGTCATCACTCTATGACTTGCTTCTGCTTTCAACAATTCTGTAAGTGAAAGAGAATTGATCATATAATCACTTTGATTCAAATTAAGAAAATTGCGCGCACATACTTTTACAAGACAAAAAAATGAATTATAACGCCAACACGATACCATCCGTTAATAAAGGTTAAATTAGCTCACATAAGTGCACCTGAATGCCTGAATATTCTCATGAATACTTTTGCTCTCAACAAAGTAAGCCCAACGAAGTAAACGGAAATATGAGGCAAGATTTCTGCTCGATGCATGAAAAACTCTGTTTTTATATAAGTATTTTATATATTCAAAAGCACAGTCTAATGATTTACTCCTCCTGCCGCTGGTAAAAATTTATATTACGAAAAAGTGATTTTTTCGTTGAATTTTTCTTATGAGACAGCCTTCCACAAAAGTATTATCACTCTTCATAGAAGTTTAAATCTAACCTATTCAATTAGATTGCAATGTAATCAAATCAAATCATTCTGGCGAGAAAGTACTCACAACTAACACTTTCACGGAGTTTCGACTTACCATTTCATTAAAATGTTTGTGCGTACAAAATACGAAAACCTGACAGATACTAAGGTAAACTGCTACTCGAGAAGCAAGTAAGCAAACATGTCTAACTATCTCGCATAACTCTCTACGGTAAACTTTGGCCTCAACGTGTAATTCATTACTCCTTTTGACGCCAGCAATTTTTAATGCTATGAATTGATATCTGACGAGAATAGTAATTCGCTGGCAAAAAGTTAAACAAAAAATGCTCTACAAATAATTACAACTATTAATTAAATTATGCATTGTAATGGAAAGAATATCATCATGTTCTGCTGATCAAAAAATTGTGCAAATTGTTTTGCACAAACTAATAAATACATACAATGCAGGGCAGTAACAGTTTTTGATCAGCAGCACATGATGATGAACCTGTACTCGATTGTGAATGTATTTGAAGTTGAGGCACAATTACAGACGAAAGAAACTAACTGAGTTAATAGGAGTACAGTTTAAATTAACTATTTGAAAAATGAACTTGAGTAAAGAAAGCATAAACTTTGGAATATATGACCTTTAAAGAACGGCATTGTATTCTTCTAACAGAATACATTTTCGCATGGTAAAAAGGTCAGTAAAGAATAGCTTCTAGAGGTATGAATACTTTTTCGAGGTCAGGCAAACCTTATTTCGCTTTCTATTCTCTTCTCTACATGACCTCCACAGTAAATTGACCTTATTAGAGCAGTTCACTGTTTCTGTAGGATCGGAAAAACCATACTGCTGCACAAATTTATTCTGCGAAAAATATTAATAATTTAAATAAGGGATCGCAGAGAATAGGCATGCATCATAGCATTTCAGACACAGACTATTATTCTCTCTTCTGAAAGCAAAAAAAGTTGCTGATAAATTTCAAGTCATCAAAGTATCACAATTGAAAATGACAATGTTTGTGATGAAAAGTGATCAATCGGTTGCAGTGAAAGTTAGATTTAAGAAATAATACAAACAAAAATAATTCGAATAAATGCAGTGCAATGATGCAAATGCCTAAGAATGCACATATTTGTTTCTCGTAATTTTTGCAAATATCATTTAATTAGTGCAGTAGTAAGAATTAACGCACAATGAAATGCTTTGCTGAGGTGTAATTCGCAGCGTGCGTTTTTCTTCATCTTCTTCACTTCACATATTTTCCTTACTCGAAACATTCCATTATTCGCTATTCGCTGATCATTGTTCTACATTTCTGTCTTCATCCAGCAATATGTATAATTAGGTCTTCGTTGCAAGATGACCCATTACAATGCCAAGTGGTGTTAATATTACTGAGAATGATGATATCTCAAATATTTTGAAAAGTTGCAATAAATTCAGTTCTGCAAGTGATTCTAGTTAACAAGCGAAGAAAAACAAAACTCAACAGAATGCAGAAGTTAGATTCAGACAAGAAAAAAAAGTATGCATGAATAAACCCAATAACACGTTAGTCAGTGCTGATAATATCCATTAATATCCAAACTGATTCCAAAAGATTTACAAAAATTCGATCTTAATCATATTACTAGCTATTGACTAAAAAATTATATTTTTGCTAGACAAAAGTCAGCTTGGTTTTTAACTGTTTAAATATTTTAACTACAAAAGGTTTTTGATAAAAGTATCATTTCAGTTAATTTGAATGCAAGAAATTAATGAAAATGAGACATTTTAGCATAAAATATTTTGCAGTAGTAGCAAAGATCTAATCAGAGTTTGCGATGAGCAGAGGAAGTCCAAGTCCTTGTTCTGTGTAACAACTTGAAAAATGAAGATATTCATGCAGATTTTGGAGAAAAAGATCAAAATTGAGGTTGAGGTCAGCTTTACATTTTGAGTTCTAGCAGAACCGTTCCTTAGCTTAGCGTTGTACGGAGCGAACTAACGCCAAAATGAAATGACGAGCTTCAAGTTAGTGTCTTGTTAGGAAGAAGCGAAAATGAGGACAGCTTAAATATGAAAAAGTTCGCGTTACTGCCTATAATTACGATAGTTTCTGCAACGAATCTATCAAATACAAAAATAAGTGTAGAAGTACGTAAAACACGCTTTTTAGCAGACATTATTTAACTTGACCATTTATGCGATGAACATATCGAGTTTCTCTAGCATTTCATAGAATATTATTGAATGAGTATAAACGATATTCCTTAGTGATCAGAGAAATAAATGAAGAACGTTACGTCAACAAGAAAGCGATCACAATAGCAAATAATATGGAAAAAATTTCAGCATTTTTTTGCATTAGCTACAAATTAACCATTACGTGATAATCAAACCATTCATAATGATAGCAGCGATTGAATAATTAATTATGTCAATAAAATAATCAGAAACCAAATCAGTGTTTACTATAATTATGGTACTGTAAGTTGAAGCAATTAGAAAAAAACGTGCGAAATTCACGAATATGAATAGTATTATATTGCGTAAAAAGATGAGTAGTGAACAGAAAGTAGAAGAACGTTACTAAGAAGCAGAAGCAATGTCAAGAAAGAGAAAAGTGATCAAAACCACATTCCATGAGAAGTTTTATCACGAAACATTACAGCAATCTACTTGTCAGTTAGATGACAGCAGCCACCTCTCGTGTAGGGCATTATTAAATGCATAAAATAATCAGATTAGATAGATATAGATAATTAGTTAGATGGATAGATAGATAGATAGATAGATAGATTGAATGAGTGATAACTTCCACAACATTCCAACATAGTCACAAAATTTGCTTGAGGGAAAAATGTGTTTCTAGGAGAAGCAGAATTCACAAATTTACACGTACTGATGACTTCACTTCGTAAAAGCAGCATCCGGATTTTCACTTCAAATTTGTTGCTTCTTAAACTACGCTTCGTTTTATTTTAAAGTAATTTCAAGCACTTTCTCACAGCATACACGAAGTGATGTAACCCAGGCAGATTGGAATGCACCTGTAATCCTTTACATAATGAACCTTCGTATCTCTAAGACAGTGACAAAGCAGAGTGTTCAGTTGCGTACTTGACTGATCGTTTGTTTGATTGATTGATTGATTGATTGATCAAATATTAAACATGCATAGTTTGTGTTACAATTGCACACAAATCAGTCATTTAATGACCAGCAAAAGTCGCATTAATAATTTCGCACAAATTTTTGGACTAAAATTTTAAAAATATTTAATTTTTGGAGAAAGAATGTGAAAAATGAAAAAAGGATGAAAATTTCATGTCCAGTGCGGTTTTTTTGTCATTTTCCCATACTTCTTGTATTTCGGAGAAATGAATAACATGAATAAATGAATGAGTGAGCGAATGAGTAAGTACATAAATGATCGGTATACGTGCAGCCAGGAAGTCAGTAGCATCTGTCACCGAGAATCAGTGTCACAAATAAATGCCTTTTTTTCCACAATTTGAAATAAAATGGCAGAATTGAATGAACAACCGTTTGTCCCACTCAAATTTGCTACTTCCCTCCACACTAAAATCTATCTTCTTCGAATGGGCAGAAACAAAGCTAACGTGCCGCACATTCCATGCAAACTACTTCAAATGCAACAGGTAGAAGGCAAGAACAATATAATGCAAATCAAACTAACACAAATCCCTTATCAGAATAAAATATCACGATGATAGCAGCATGCATAATATTATAGAGAATGTGCAAAATTCGTACTGCTGATGCTTCGGCTGTTCATTGCATTCCTCTCACAAATTATTTATTTCACATCTGCTGCAGTGATCATTTTTGTTATGAATATTGCAGCTGAATAAACGATCGCTTACCGTTCTATTTACAGCAGGAAATGATTATTTCAGTTGTTGGAAATTGAATTTATCAGACCTAACATTTGATTTCAGATAATTACTCGATCAGTCAGTAATTAATTAAATCACATGTCGCTTGAATTATCCAAAATTAAGATTAAAATTACAAAGTGTAGCAGCAGAAACATCAAGCTCAAAAATTTAATTATCTCTGGAAGTCTTACAACTATTAAATAGCGTCTTTTTCTTTCTCATTTAAATGATATTTTGTGTTAAATCGAATCTTTCAAGACAGAAGCCTACTTGTATTATATTAATGCTGATAAGTATAAATAATTCAGGACAAATAACACATTTCACATCTTAGTAAAGAATGAAAGACCGCTGATTTCATGAAGGAATGTTTCAAAAGCTGTTATTCGCAAGAGTGATAATAAAGATGACACTGATGATAGGCGGTGTTATCATTTTAATGATAATGATAAGAAGGTTACACAAGGGACAATTAGTTTTATCCAGGATTCAAGGCAATAAAAAGGTTTCATGAGAATGTATGGAATTTGTGCGCAGAGAAAGGAACGAATGCGTAGCTTGCGATCACGAAATAAAAGAATTGCTGTACCCAGAAAACTTGAGAAAATCATCCAGCATCTATAATTTTCCGAGGCAGAATAGGTCTTCCAAAGCCGGTTCTCCGCTCCTCAGGAATTTCAGCTATGCGTGTGCACACACATACACATGCAGACACAATCATAC